AATTTCAAATTCTCCCTACGTTCTTCCAGAAGTAGGGGCAGTAGTTACTTCCTGTAGTTACTACTTCCCTGATATCTATGTTCCCGTTTCAACTTTCATGTTAATAAAAATCTCCATTAAATTATTTCCATTAAAATAATTGGTATGACTTTTGTCTCGTGCTTTGACTATGACTGCCACTTGTGTTTGTTATTTCTGAGCATTCTAAGCAAGAAATATCAGGACAGCCAATACAGAGGAAGAAGGAGGGAAATCAAACTCAGGGTATTCCGTTGCGTGACCAGTCTCTGCAAGTAGCTACTGGAGTGATTGCCTCCTGAATCATGTGGGAACCACTCAGAAAAGCAGTCTGAAGTCTTTTCTGAATAGTGCAGAAGCACTTGAAGACTCTGAAGAAACACATAGTTAGTGTCCACTGACCAGCGGATTAGAAGGTGACCAAGTGGGAATGACTCTGCACTGATTTCATAACATATTCTGGAAACTACAATGAGGAATAAATCCTTCTGTTCATGCTTGGGATCTATTTGCATGTTTGTGCTTGCTTCAGTGTTAATCTGTATACTACACTGGGCAGAATAACCTATTTTGCTTTCCTTTTGTCAAAAAACATTGAGGTCCTATTTTGCACTCATAAGACAAAACAAAAACAACAAAATTCACTCTAATAAAAAGCAGAATAAAATTGATAAAATTGAGTAGTAAGGATATCTTCCACTTTTCTGTACTCTATCATTTATTAGGCAACTAGTATTAAATCATTCTTGCCTTGTTGAAGACAGTTATTCAAATCAACTTGTGGTTTTCATTGGAATACTATGCAGCAATAAAAAAGAAGGAAGGAATTCCTATCTTTTGTGACAGCATGAATGGAACCGGAGACTATTATGCTAAGTGATATAAGCCAGTTAGAGACAAATACAATACGATCTCACTTTTTAAGTGGAATTGAATGAACAAAATAACAATCAAAATAGAATCAGAAACCTGGAAATGGAACAGACTGACAGCTGTAAGAGGGGCGGGGGATGTGGGGACCGATTGAAAGAGTGAAGGGATTAGTCAAAAATACATGCATGGCCCACGGTCATGGACATGGATGTGTGGGGGTTGGCTGTGGGAATGAGGGGCAGGCTGGGTGGAGGGGAGCTACGGAGGAAAATTAAATAAACTGTTACAGAATAAACAATAAGATATTTTTAAAAATCTACTTGTGGTTTTAATGTGAATTTAATTTCCAACATGTCCCTTCTTTACTCTTCTTTGAAGCCTCTTTTATGTTAAATCTTTTAAATATACATAATCATATAGTTTAGTTATAAACTAAAATATTATAAAATATTTATATTATAATATTTCTAAAATATTATAAAATACATATCTATGTAACCAGCATTAAAAGTCAGGAAATAAAATCTCAAAAGTACTCTCCCCGCAAACTCTGACCCTGCTGCCAAAGCTGACCATTACTCTAACTTTATGACAATCACCACTTTGCTTTTTTTCATAGTTTTCTCCACTAAGACTGCATCCATGAACTTAAATTTAATTTTGCCAGTTTAAAATTTTTATATACAAAATCATACAATGTTTATTTTGCTTTCTTTTTACTCAGTATATATTTTTAAGATGCATCTGTGTCATTTCATGTAGCTGTAGTTCATTCGTTTTCACCATTGTGTTCTCTGCCAGTGTATGGAATACCACAAATTGAATGAACCATCATATTGTTACTTCCAGTTGGAATGCTCATAAGCACCCACCTCTTTAGGGTAAATTTCTAAAAGTGAGATTACTAAATCATAGGACACTGTCTAACCATTTTTCCAAAGTGGCTGCACCACTTCACACTGCCAGCGTGAGGGTCCCCGCTTCACATCCTGGCCAGCTCCGGGCGCCGTCGGCTACTCGGTGCCCATCTGGTGAGTATGGAGCCATAGTCACTGCGGTTTTCATTTGTCCTCTTTGGATTATTAATTAAACACCTTTTTAATCAATAACAAATATTTACTGGCCATTTTGATTTTTTGTTTTATTTTTTATTGAACTTATTGGGGCGACATTGGTTAATAAGATTACATAGGTTTCAAGTGTACATTTTTTATATTACATCATCTGTACGCTGTATTGCGTGCCCCAGTCTCCCTTCGTGACCGTTTATCTTCCCTTTACCCTCTGCTACTCACCCCCTCGCCCCCTTCATCTGGATATCTTTTGTGAAATTCCTGTTCAAATAATTTGCCCATTCTTGCATTAGATTCTTTTCCTTGATTTGGAGTTCTTCACCTATCCTTGGCGGTATTTGTTGCAGGTCCCTCCTCCCACTTGATGATGGTCTGCCCTTCCTTGCTTCGCAACTTTGGGAAGCCTGGCAGGCCCGACGGCAGCCTCCTGCCGAGCCCCCCGGGTCCCGGGGGCTGCCGCGCCGCCCGCGTCGCCAACCTTCCCACCCCGTCCGCCCGAACAGGAGGCGTCGCCTCCCCGCGGTGCGGCCCTGCCCACTGCGGGGCCAGGCCGGCGTCGCGCGGGCCTCGGTCTCCAGGGCAGCGCTGGGCGACGCGGGCGGGCAGGGACCGGGGCGGCGCCCGGCGAGGCGAGGGCGGGGCAGCGACGGCCTGGAGGACGCGGGGCCGCGGGGCCGCGGCAGCAGAGGAGCGCGGGGCAGGTGACGGCGGTTTCACCCGGAAGGGGTGGGCGCGGGCACGGGGGGGAAACGGGATCGCGACCCGGGAGAACCCAGAGGAGCTGCCCCCGACAACACCTAGGACCAGGGCGGGAAGGGCCGACCGTGGCGGAGGCAGGAACGAGGGCCGGGGGCCCGGCGGGGTGGGGGGCGGCGGGCTGGGATCTGGACCGGCTTTGGTGCCCAGACTCCCAGAGCCGCTCTGTCCTCGGTTAAGAACTGTCCTGGGCACCAGCCCCGCCGCACCCGGCATTTACCGGGCCTTAAACCGCCCTTGCTGTCGTGTAGTTTTGTCCATCAGAGAAAAAGCAAAGGGAGAAAAATCCGAACGCGCCTAGGGGCAGCTTCTGGCCTGTTCCGAAACAGGGCGGCCTTTTCTCTCCCATTCATCTCCGCGATTCGTTCCTCCCGGGGCTAGTGGACTAGACCCGCCGTATCCCTGTGGGTCTTGTTTACGGAGATTTGTCCGCCTCTCTTGGTCAAGAACTTCAGTGGAAAGCTGTTGTGCCACGAGGGAGACAGACCCCTTCCACTGAGCCAAGCTGCGGGCTTTGGCCGCAGGACCTGCTCGAGGGAGGTCAGGTCTCCACGGGAGACCCAGCTCGACCTTGTGGTATTTGGCTTTGCGTCCTTCATGCTCTCGCAAACTTCATTAGTCTGTGAACAAAAAAGTATTTCTCCTATAGACATTTTTTATCGATTAACTCCAAGAGACACTATCTGGTTTAAGAAGAGAAGTTGAAGAGACTAATTTTGTGAAGGAGCATTTCCAAGTTGAAATATCATGACTGTTTTAAGCTTTTTCTTTAAGATCCCAATTACAGTGACTTAAAGTCTTGCGGTGAAACTGGTGTTTTAAAACTTTCAGTGGTTTGATGGATTTGCTGCTTTGTAAAATTATCCTTAAAAGCAACAATTCATCGGTTTGCCAATGTTAAAATGATAGAGTAGAATGAAATAGATGTGTTTTTAAAATAAGAAACTCAATACAGAAAACCAGTCTGTACACTCAGACAATAATATTTCAATATGAATGTTACCTTTTGTCTTGTTTGTTAGGTGTTTTCCTCCAAGGAATTGATGGTGTTCCTTGGAAACGTTAGCAACTAAGTCAACATCAGCAACGCTAGGAATAGGAATAAGGTCATGTTGTTTAGTTAGGATTAGGGTCTAGCAAAATAACGAGCAAAACTTTTAAAGCAAATTTTACAGTAATCCCTGATGTTGAAGGTTTTTATAATCTGACCTACAGGAAAAAAAAATGGCACAAAGGCAGAGAGATAGAAGGTAGAGCAAAGAGAAGTGCTAGGTAGAGATGAAAGGGAGCACAATCCAAAACCATCATCTGCAGTGAACTCAAAGCACCCTTTCCATAAACCGCCTCATGGGCCTTTACAATGGCCTTTTGAGACGGCGGCGAGAGCTCACTTGCAGTGACACTCTTAAGTGAGTTAGAAGAGATCCCAGCTGTTATGCGGGCCAGACTCCCAACACTCCCCAGGACAGCATCTCTTTCAGGTAGGCGGACATCCGCCCTCTGCTACGAATTGCTCAGTGGTAGAATTCACAAGGTGGCCAAATCTTGTGCTGAACAGTTTTAATCATTTTTTTAAATATATATACTGCGTCGAGATTGATCTCCCAGTAACAAGCCCCTAAATGACACATTCCAATGTAGTAGCAGCCTGGATATCAAAAAGACTTTGAAATGATGAAGCCAGCCAGTATAGGTCTAGGAACCAAACAGCTTCCCCCTTCACAGTTCTGACTATGGAAACCACACACTTGCTCTCTCTACCTCCTTTACTTTCCACAGGACAGACCATGGACCTGCTTTACTCTGTCCATGAATACAACTGAACAGTGGCATATTTGTATCAGTGCCCCGGGTATTTGAAATAAGGCCATCAAAGTCCTGTCTGTAATTACCACTTGGCTTGTCCAGGCTTGTCTGTCAGAGGGCCTTGGAAGCTGGAAAAGGTATGTGCTTCCGCGGACCATTTGATTTCCCCAGTGAAGCGACCCTTGATTACTCAGGCTGGTTTAGAGGCTCTTTGTTTCTCCAGAGAGAAAACAGAATAATATTGCCAATAGACCTTTTTCACACACAGAAAAAGGGTGCACACAAACGGCTGCAGGTGATATAACAAGTTTTGTCCTCAATTAAATTTTTGATTAACATTGCCATTAAAGAGATTTCAGTAGTCACTGAGTAACATAAGTATAATTTTTTTAGGTAATGCTTTTGTGAACCACAACTTTCAATATTCAGCCAACTGCTCCTCTCAGCAAAAGTATCTCCGTTAATTTTTCCAAGATGAATCATAGTAAATTAATTCCCAAGCTCTCTATGCAATCTCCTGTCTATCATGCCAACTTAAAAGTTCAGTCCACAAAGTTACCTTTTAAGAAAGAAGACGTACATCTGATTTTAAAAGACTCCCTGGAAGCTAATTCAGAAAGCCTCACTCAAGAGATTGATTCCCAGTCTGAACGTGAAGACAGAATCCAGGATGACAATGTGGAGACTGACAGCTTAGAGGAGGGGAGCCATCCACAGGACAGTCTGAGCGAGACCGAAGAGGAAGCAAGCAGAAAGGCGGCGCGGGTGGCCAGCAAGGACAACCTCCATACTGGGGACAGTGATGCGAAAAACAGGTAAGGAGCTGGCTTGGGAAGGATGCCACTGATTTCTGAGATGTTCAATCATTCCTGGTACCGTCCCAGGTGAGAGTGAGGGCAGGCCCCCACAGTGAGCCTGTGACTGTGCGAGACAGGTCTCCCCGCGTCTGAGGGCGGCTCGGAGCCGGGCTTTTGGCTATGTTTATCGTTTTTATTAAAAAATATGCAAAAGACAAGGAGAGGTATTAATACGGCATTTGCTTTTCTTATGCTCCTTATTTCTCGTCCGTATTCCAAGTGCCTCCACTGCTGGTATAGAAAAGTGCCATAGCTTGGAGTCAGGTGGTCTTGCTTTGGTCCAGGCACTGCTGTTTACTGTATGATTTAGAATAAATGACTTAACTCTTTTGCATCTTACTTTTCCTTTTTTTATTATTATTTTTAAAGATTTTATTTTTTTAATTTATTTTATTTTTAACCAGAGGAGAAGGGAAGGAGAAGGAGAAGGAGAGAAATGTCAACGTGTGGTTGCCTCTTGCACGCGTCCTACCAGGGACCTGGCCTGCAACCCAGGCATGTGCCCTGACAGGGAATTGAACCAGCGACTCCTTGGTTTGCAGGCCAGCACTCAGTCCACTGAGCCACACCAGCCAGGGCGCATCTTACTTTTTATTACCTGTTAAATAAACCAGCCTGTCTTTCCCCAGGACTGCTATAAATGTCAGTAAAGTACATTCTGGGGTTATGTACCTCTCCTAGGGCTTGTATAATCATATAAAGATTTAATTGTTAATAATCAGCATTTTTTAAATCCTTGCCTCAGAACATTTTTTCATTGCCTTTAGAGAGAGGAAGAGGGTGGGGCGGGGGGGAGAAAGAGAAAGAAACATCAGTTGGTTGCCTATTGTACACGCCCTGACCAGGGATCAAACTGATGACCTGGGTGTATGCCCTGACTGGGAATTGAACCCGCGACATTTTCCATCTACGGGGCAATGCTCCAACTGAGTCACCTGGCCAGGGCTCTAATAATCAGTGTTGATGAGGCATTAACTTTATGCTATGAGCTACCAAAAACTATAAGGAGAAATAAATTTGTGCTATATTACTCATGGTTTTAATGAAAATATAAGTATGATAGAATGTAGAAGTTAAAAACTATTGATTAGAAAGAGGTTTTAGTGTGGTGGTGAAGTGCACAGGGTCTGAAACAGACCATGGGGTTCAGATTCTCCCACTTACTAGCTGTATGACCTTGGCCGAGTCCACTTAATCTCTCTGTGCCTCAGTTTCCTCATCAGTAACAATGGGATAATAATAATGGTTACCTTACATAGTAATTGTGACACTAAAATAAGTTAATATATAAAATATATAAAGTACTGAGAACAGAGACTGACTATCTTACATATGTGTTAGATATTTTTAACTATCTTATATATGTGTTAGGGGTAAAATATATTAAGGAAAGTTTTTATTGGAACTCCTAGAACTGGGGCATGTAGGATTTTGGAGACAAGGTGGACTTGGGGGAAAAAACCCAGAATTAGAGTGATGCGTGTGGCATAGTGAGGAATGCTGCTTGATGGCACAGGCTCTGTTCTCAGTGTAGCGAAGGTACGCTGAGCAGCGGCCTGATTGTAGGGGCCGCTGTGGAGTGAAACGAGCTCATACTCAAATAGGGCGCTGAACACAGAACTCGGATGACTCGTCCGGGAATACAGTCACAGCAAGGGCTCTTGTGGAACAGGATTTGAGCCTGGTCCTGAGCTGTTGTTTTTTTTTTTTTTCCTTTCTTCTTCCCATTCTTCTTTCTTTTACTGGGAATACTGAGTTGAATCAGTCTTACAGGGGATCTCAAAATACAGCACTAGTGATAAATGCTATCAGGAAGGGGCAGCCGCAGTGTGGAGGGCAACAGGGGCTCGGGAAGACCCAGGCAGCCGGCCACACCTGACGACTGGGTCGGGGGGTGGGTCTGCCAGGAGGAGGGAGTGCAGGTTCCTGGGGAGGGCAGTGAACTAAAGCAGTGTTTTTCTTTAAATTATATTTTATTGATTATGCCATTACAGTTGTTCCAATTTGTCCCCCTTTGTCCTCCACCACCTAGCACCCCCCACTCCCTCAGGCAGTCCCCACACCATGGTTCATGTTCATGGGTCATGCATATTAGTTCTCTGGCTGCTCCATTTCCTATACAGCACTTCACATCCCCATGGCTGTTCTGTAACTACCTATTTGTACTTCTTAATCCCCTCACCTCTTCACCCATCCCCCCACACCCATCTTCCATCTGGCAACCATCAAAATGCTCTCCATATCCATAATTCTGTCTCTGTTCTTCTTTGCTGTGCTTGTTTTTTAGATTCAGTTGTTGATAGATGTGTATTTATTGTCATTTTGTTGTTCCTAGTTTGGATATTCTTCTTTTCCTTAAATAAATCCCTTTAACATTTTATATAATAATGGTTTGGTGATGATGAACTCCTGTAGTTTTTTCTTGCCTGGAAAGCTCTTTATCTTCGATTCTAAATGATAGCTTTACTGAGTAGAGCAATCTTGGCTGTAGGTCATTGCTTTTCATGACTTTGAGTATTTCTTACCAATCCCTTCTAGCCTGCAAAGTTTCTTTTGAGAAATTAGCTGACAGTCTTACAGAAAATCCCTTGTAGGTAGTTAACTGTGTTTCTTTTGCTGGTTTTAAGATTCTCTCTCTTTATCTTTAACCTTCCGCATTTTAATTATGATGTGACTTGGGGTGGGCCTCTTTGTATCCATCTTGTTTGGGACTCTGTGCTTCCTGGACTTGCATGTCTATTTCCTTCACCAAATTAGAGAAGTTTCCTTTCACTATTTTTCCAAATAGATTTCAATTACTTGCACTTTCTCTTCTCCTTCTGGCACCCCTATGAGGTGAATGTTGGACCTCTTAAGGTTGTCCCAGAGGCTGTGTATACTGTCCTCACTTTTTTGGATTCCTTTTTCTTCTTGTTTGATTATTTTTTTGCTTCCTTATTTACCAAACCATTGATTTGATTCTCAGCTTCATCCACTGTACTGTTGATTCCCTGTAAATTATTCTTTATTTCAATTAGTGAATCCTTTGTTTCTGACTGGATCTTTTTTAAAATTAGTTGTTTGTTTTGTTTATTTATTTATTTTAATTATAAAATATTTATTGTATTTTTTTCATTACCATTTAGTGCCCTTATACCCTGCTCTCTCCAGCAACCACCACATTGTTGTTGATGTCCATGAGTCCTTTTCCCTTTTTACTCAATCCCTCCTCCCTGTAACCTCCACCCCCCAACTAGCTGTCATCTGTTCTCATTCTATGGATCTGTCTCTGTTTTGCTTGTCAGTTCAGTTAGTTTGTTAGATTCCACTTATGAGTGAGATCACATGTTATTTGTCTTTCTCTGACTGGCTTATTTCACTTAGCATAATGTTCTCCAGGTCCATCCATGCTGTTGCAAAGGGTAAAATTTTCTTCTTTTTTATGACTGAGTAGAATTCCATTGTATAAATGTCCTATGGTTGTTTTATCCACTCATCTATGGGTGGACACTTGGGCTGCTTCCATATCTTGGTGATTATACATAACACTGTAATGAACATAGGGGTGCTTATGTTCTTTTGAATGAGTGTTTTAGGTCCTCTCATATATATCCCCAGAAGTGGGAGTGCTGGGCCAAAAGGCAGATCCAATTTTAATTTTTTGAGGTATCTCCATACTGCTTTCCACAGTGGCTGTGCCAATCTGCATTCCCACCAACAGTGCAAAGGCGTTCTCCTTCCTTCACATTCTCACCAGTGCTTGTTTTTTGATTGATTGATGATAGCCATTCTGACAGGTGTGAGATGGTATCTCATTGTGGTTTTTATTTGCATTTCCCTGATGATTAGTGATGTTGAGCATCTTTTCATATACCTATTGACCATCTATATGTCTGACTGGATCTCTTTTATGCTTCTGAGGTCCTTAGGCATCCTTATAACCAGTGTTTTGAACTCTGCATCTGATAGATTGCTTATCTTTCTTTTGTTTAGTCCTTTTTCTGAAGTGTTGGTCTGCTCTTTCTTTTGGGCCATGTTTCTTCATCTCTTCATTTTGGCAGCCTCCCTGTTGTTGTTTCTATGTATTAGGTAGAGCTGCCATGACTCCCTGTCTTGGTAGTATGGTCTAACATAGTAGGTGTCCTGTAAGGTCCAGTGGTACAGCCTCCCCTATCACCCAAGCTGAGTACTTAAAGTATGTCCTCTTGGTGAGCTGAGTACACCCTTCCCTTGTAGTTGAGCCTTGATTGCTCAACTACAGGTCAATGGACAGGATTTATTCAGGCCAGTCAACTTCAAGGAATCACTGTGACCACTGACCACCAACCTCTGCCCTTCGTGGAGGATCAGCTGTACGGGGCAGGGTGGTGGTGCTCCAAGGTGGTCTGTAGCTGTCCACTGGGTGTGCAGTCTCTGGAGTTTCCTGTGTGGTGCAGCCAAAGTCAGTCCCCACCTGTATTTTGTCTGGAGCCACCCAGCCTGGGCTATCAAGCAATCTGAGGTGGTGGCTACTTGTGCTTGGCTTGGAGATTCCCAGGTGAAGCCAAGCTGTGAATCTAGTCTGGTTGCTCCTAGTACGAGGCATGGGGCCACTTAGCAAGAGGTACAAGGTATGGGGGCTCACTGAGGCTGGCTGTTGCTTGGTTGAGAAGATTTAGGAAGTTGTGAAGCATGAGCCAAGGCCAGCCATTCATATGGAAAAGTCTCTGTTAACAGCTTGAGTGGGCCTATAAGTTGGGTGGGATGGAGCCTCAGTGGATCTCCAGGGTGGAGCAGTGTTAGCCAGCTTGATGGAGTCTCAGATATGGTACCTGCCTGTTCTGTGGCTCTGTGGGTAGAGGGTTCAGAAGGGACAATGGTTTCTACCCACCTTTCTGTCTGGGAAAAAGCTGTCCCCCAGCTCTCACTTTGATGCCAGATACTTCAGTTCCTCCCTGTATGCCACTGGTGCCTTTTAAGCTGCTACACTGGTGCTGGAG